TTGTAATATCGTGGTCATATCGAGATAACACATTTATAAACACAGTCTCTCTGACCCCTGAAATAGTCATACAGGTCGAGATAACAGTTATAAACACGTTTTCTCTGACCCCTGAAATAGTCAGACATGTCGAGATAACATAGTTATAAACACGTTCTCTCTGACCCCTGGAATGTACGTCATCTTCTGTTGCATTTGCATATCACCATTCAAAATTAATTATACAAAGTCTGTGGTCCCCCTCGTTAGAACTGACCTAATGCGGTATATCCAGATGGTTTTCTTCAGCAGCCGCCATATATATTGGAATTTTCCCAGTCAGTGATATGTTTTTGGTGGGTGGAATGATCTGTTGGTGCATATTTATCTATCTTAGAAGAATGTTTTCGCTTTGATCTAGTGAATGTTTGCCATAATGGCATTCTGCGTCGTTCTGGTATTCATTAATAACGACCGGAATCTCCTGCCTGTTTCCCTAATATATGATGCTTCGTAGTTCTTGCATCCAATTTTGTATACACATACTGCGACGTTCTCTTTGAGTATCTTATCTTTAGGATGGACTAGGATATTTCGAAGAGACTTGTGAGGTTTCATGGCTGTTGCAATGTCATGCCCACGGTAAATTCTCTAAATGTGTTCTGACACGCCTATGATGTAAGGGACGACTGCTTTGTTTTGCTCCTTTTCCTCGGTTGCTTCGTCTCTTTCGTCATGGCCACAGACACCCGAACAGCTATGATCAAGTGTGGCAGAATGGACTATAAAACACTGTTACCTTCTTTTGTATATGTTTTGGTCTGTGTACCATCTCGTCCCACTAGCTGCTAACTTTGTGTTCATTGAATTAAAGTACGATCGCAAAAGGTTGGTCACTATGTACATCAGTGCTAGTACGCTCTTCACAGGTCATTTGTCTGATGAATGTGACCGTGTTGTTATCGAAATGTCACACTCTAATCTTCTACTGGTTGTGTTATAAGATGAATGTGACCGTGTAGTCATCGAAACGTCACACTATAATCTTCTACTGGTTGTGTTATAAGATGAATGTGACCGTGTTGTCATCGAAATGTCACACTCTAATCTTCCACTGGTTGTGTTATAAGATGAATGTGACCGTGTTGTCATCGAAATGTCACACTCTAATCTTCTACTGGTTGTGTTATAAGATGAATGTGACCATGTTGTCATCGAAACGTCACACTCTAACCTTCTACTAGTTGTGTTATAAGATGAATGTGACCATGTTGTCATCGAAACATCACACTCTAATCTTCCACTGGTTGTGTTATAAGATGAATGTGACCGTGTTGTCATCGAAATGTCACACTCTAATCTTCCACTGGTTGTGTTATAAGATGAATGTGACCGTGTTGTCATCGAAACATCACACACTAATCGTCTAATGGTTGTGTTTTAAGATGAAGGCGACCGTGTCGTCATCGAAACATCACACTCTAATCTTCTACTTGTTACAACTTCTGTTCTATTGACAAACTGCAACTGTTCCTAAATAATGAGACCTTAGTGTGTTTTCGTCTCTGGGTCCCGAAGAGATGATCACGAAGCTGTCCGACTTGCTTGAAATGATTTTTTTCTTAGTTTCTGTCTTGTATGTAATGATATCGAAAAAGAACAAGCAAATAAAAATATTGATTCCTTATTCTCTTAAAAACGGTTTTCAACCAGCGCAAATATTTGAGAAAGCCGGTCATGGCATTTTTTTTTCATTACAAGTGACGAATGGAAACCGCATAAGATAGCTCGATAAAGACTCCTAGACCACACAAGAAATGTGTACTCTCTGAGGTTTAGATCTAACACTGTCACTTACATGTGAGACTTAATATAAGACTTTTCATCAAAATTCGGGTCATCAAGCATCTTGTATGATAAAGTCACACATCAGATTACATATACATATACGTTGAAAAATGTATTACCAAATCCAATTAAGATGTGTTTGTTCTTATACAATATCTATTTGCATAAATATCTATAAATGAAATACAATCTGTCATACAATTTTAGCCTGAATTCGTCAGTTTCTAAGAGACTACAAGAATTTGCAAGGAAGGACGAACGGACGGATGGACAGAAAGACAACATACAGAATGTGATGTACATGTACGCTGCATTTCAAATAAAAAAGGTAAAAAAACAACGAAAACAAAACGATATAGAGACACAGATATCAGATTGTTATATTTGCCATTGAAGCATGACGATATATCTGTTTTCATATACAGGTGTGACTAGGGGTTACCATACAAACACACCAAAAACTCTTCACAAAACACATTGTCCTTTCCTGGTTATACATATCATTTAACCTGTTCATGCATATCTCCGGAGACATGAATGTAAAATTATATTAAACGTGGTTATATAAATCATCGATACAACAGTTACCTCCCTTACATCATTATCAAAATGATCGAGGAATGACATTCATTTAAGTATGACTATCATGTTCGTTTACTACGAAGCTGCCGATGTGATAAACCAAGTCATCATGCTTTAATAAAAATGCAATGGAACTGGAATCGATATATAACACTTGGATATAAATTCAGCTGACTAGTCTTTTCAATAAGTGTATTTCCTGTTATACACGTTTTCTCTGCTTAAGTGAAGAATATAACAACAAAGAATAAAACGTTGTTATCTTAACCCAGTTAGTTATGTTTATAATGTGTTAATCCTAAATAATCATGATTTGTTCCGACTTGAGTGAGCAAAGTGGTGGTCGGGTGGCGTAGTGGTAACGCTTTGGCCGTCCATGGTTCGATTCCTGGAATGGACGTGGAAAGGTATTGGGCACACTTGCCTGACCACGTGGTTGTTCCAAGGAAATTCTGATTTCCTCCGACTTTAAGACCCCCCCATCTGAGCCAACAAGAGTTATTAATATAGGCTTAAAGCCTGTTTGGCAATTGTTGAACAATAAAGTTTACTTAAACAGAAATAAAATGCACTTTGAAAAAGGATTCTATTGAGGTAGATAGATGTGACCGGATAATGATAGGATTTTATCACACAGCCGATTTCTCTATCAAACACTCTGGTGTTCTAGAGGTAAAATAGTGAGGACATTTAGTAAGAAAGCCTATGAAATTATCATGTTATATATAATAACGTGCTTTCTTTACAATTAACCGATACAGGTATCAGTATACAGTAGAAATCAATCACTTCACTCAATTAAGCTACTTCTAGTTGTTATCTTCTAACGTTTACTGACTTAATTAGCGGAAAGTTGAATGACGTTTTCCGTCCACAATTACTTCATTTAATCTGAATTACTACACATACAAACTTATGTACCAGCCACCAAACCAATTTTCTCTAAACTGTAAACCCTGTTAAAAATTTAAAAAGTCATTATCATACTTCATACGTTTAATTACATGTTCCTGTATATATATTTATACTCTCAATCTTTATGCTCCTTGGTCAGTATGTAAAGGGCCTGAACACCATTTGCTAAATCATTCATTATATATATATTGCAGCTTCATATATTAGTTATCTCGCTGCCTTATTGTTAATTTACAAAAGTTAAATATTGCATTCTCTAAACAAATTGCATTGACCGACCTCGTTATAATTGTAACAATATAAGGATTTAGGAAAACACAATTTTCACCCATGTTTTTACTGCTTGAAATATCTATCATCTACCATCCAGGTACTAAGTAATATCAAAAATGTGCACAGTGATCATCATACTTACTAATCATTTAATTAGAGAAATAGCGAATTCACCATGAACAATTACTTAAAAATATAACACACATACATGATTATTTGAAGAAAATAAAGGTTTTAGATTAAAAAATGAATAAAAAATGTAGTTTAAGAGAAATTATCTTATACACAAAATATCAATAATTACACCCAAATAATCATTTAACTAAAATTAAGACGGTAAAATTGTCAACGGTTTTGCATCATCGTAATTGTTACAAATAAAAATGATCACAAAATAACGAAGGTTTATAAATATTTAAAAAAATAATTAACATGAATCATTATCACAATGGAAAAATCAATTGGCATACCAAAAACAATGTGAACCGTACAGCGACTGACACACATTAAAACAATCATTTACAAATGAACAGTTGTGCATATCAATATTAAAATGTAATCACAATCATTACAACAGGGAATTAACAATAATGTTTTTTGTCCTTGAGAATAATTACATGTTCCATAGAGCAACTCATTCGTATAATTTGCATTGAAACTGATATCTCATTAATACTTGATTAATCATCCTTGTTAATTCATACAAGTCGACATATTCTCAACGAACACATATCAACATTTGTTTCCCGGTTAGGTTGTTATGCATAATTATCTTACCCTGACAGAAATCACCTGTTACAAGCGCTGTGATCGATTACATTTAAAATCCATGTGTTTTTGACAGGTCAGTTTTATAACGGTTGCTATAATGATGCAATTATGGTCCTCCATACATATAATGTAGGAAATATCCACTCTGTACAGTAAGCTGATAAATGGAAATTACAATGTCAATAAAACTATTGATATAAACAGTACAGTATCTAAACATATGAACAACAGAGAATCACGAGATATCGTCATCATCTGACCCGTTATCATAATACTGTGATATTCATATTCAATATCATAATACATCAACACCCACATTATCAATTATCTTAATCTGAAACCCAAATTGTAAGTATTCATTATTTCAAACCCTGTTACCTTAATACCATGCATTACATATTCAATATATCTAATAGCCAATATTTAGTATGTAAACCAAGTGGTATTAAAATATTCATTATATTAAATAATGAATATTTAGTAAATACACCTTGTAGTATTAAAATATTCATTATATTAAATTGTGAATATTTAGTACATAAGCCTTATGGTATTAAAATATTCATTTTCCTAAACTCAACACATCAACATGAATAAAATAAACATTTCTATTTGTAATTTAAGTACAGCATAATAAAAAGACCATGAAAATCATTAATCCTTGTTATATATAAAAAAATATTGAGGTAATAAATCAAACAATCAAATTGTTTTCGTAATGAAATGAAACAAAATGTCCATAAAAAATATTTGTCTAATATATTGGTAATGTGATCTTACATTTCAACACCTGTTCTTGATTAATTAAGTACCAATGTGTGTAATCAAATTCAAATGTTTATTACACGAACCAACTAAACTAGTTGGTGATATGATTAACAATGCGGTAACAACTCTATTTCATTAAATATTTCATAAAAACTGTACGAAACAACCCAAAATTACCGACATGACATGACAATCTTCATACAAACAGTACTCCGTTTGAAAAATATTTGCAAAAGAATGTTTAAAAAGGGTTTCTTGATACAATGAAAAAACAGGTGCTCCTGAAGGGACAGCGTCTTAAACGAGTCCAGTCATGTTAGTCTTCCGATATTGCAAGTAACTAATCCTGTGTTCATAACATTAATGAGACCAGGGCCAACATCAACGTGTATAACATTTGAATAATTAAAATCTGGTTCATACAGTCTTGGAGATGTTAAGATTAAAATATTGTCAGAAAAAGACCACACGTGGAATGTTTAAACTAGAACATAGCAAGGTAAGAAGGGAGAGTTAAAATAAACTTTGCCCTGGGAAATATATTGTTATACTTACTTTGGATAAAACATAGAATCAAATAAAACACGTGCAGGAAGTAACAATTCAAATAAAGTATAGAGAATGCAACCGAAGTACCTGCACCATCAATGAAACATGGATGCTGGGAGCAAAGCAACAGTTAAAAGAATGACAAACGCATGAGAATAACAAATCCGAACGGACATCCAATCATCAGTCATCAGTTTGGACACCAAACTGTTAAGTATATAATTACGAACACCTGTTAATAACACATCGGTACAAAATAGGAATTAATCTGTTAACGAGTTTAGGGTAGACCGCTTTGATATAGAGTTCCATAAGTGCACTTGGATGATGGTTACACATGGTAGTTTTGTGTTAGTGACATCACACAAGACGGCTGTTCTGTAATGACATTCTGCATTAGATGTTGAGAGATCCATTACGTGCGAACTTTCTCTAGAATTTCTTTCACGAACAGACGCAGAAGTAACTGTGGATAAATGACAAAACATATATGTTAGTAATATTAGTAGGAATTAGTGTTAATAATGATAACAAAAAGGTGTTAATGATATCAAAATAGTGTAGGTACTTTATGTGGTTAACAAACAGTTTACAATCATTGATCACATCACTGAACTATTATGTCATACCGTCTTGTCATAAATATACCTCCCCGTCCCTTCCCCATTCTCAAGAGAAGATTTTCATGTATGTCAAAAGTCAAAATGTAAGATGCCGAGTTACCTACCTTTGAGGGGTGACACACGGTCTTACAAAAGTTAACCCATACCCCAAGTACTTAGTTTGTGTGATTAATATCGGAGAATATTGTTTTCAGACAAGACAGCAGAAGGAAGAGAGGAAGGACGGACACAGTAGTGCTCTCTAGTTCCTGGTGGGGGATTTACTTGTAAACACATTCAATTAACTCCATAGTACATCGACACAAATGAAAGATCATATTTATGTGCGTTATAAGAAACAATATTGACCACAAATCAGACACTTTCGCTAATGATAAAATTAAAACAAAAGGAAAGTTCAAAAGATTATATTCTCTACAAATCCAATTAATCAGTGCAGGTGACTATATAAAATAATAGTGCTTGTGGCAAATTGATGTTAGTGATGTACATTTTAAGCGTTCATCTATTTCACTTATGCAAGTGCCATCTTCTTGCATCTCTATGAATGTCTCAGTAACAAAAACGATGAGAAAATAATATATAACCAGTGGCAGACTATGATCAATTAATGAGAAATTTACACGACAGACGAAAGTCAAATGGGGAACAGGAATGAGACCCATGATTCCAATCCCATAACATACAGACGGAGTCATGCGTGGATCTACCATCTGCTTCGTCTACAGTATTACTCTGTGTACGTATAATATCATACTATATATTAATTAATAAGTTAATGGTGCGACTTTAAGGTTAAAATATGATTATTCTGTTTGTTGTTTATGAGATATCCTGAGTACAAACCTTATGCTAAAACTGATTAAGTAAGGCCTTCGACCCATTTAAAATTGTGAATAATTACAAAAAATGTATTGTCGAGTTTGAATTTGCTTTTCAGTCACATTATTACTTTCTGTTATCAAAATATTTAAAATCTAATTCCCAGTAATTATGCATTATAATGACCTGTTACAATTTATAATATATATATAAACACTGTTGGCTAGTTGTTCAGTGAGGATAATTTAGAGCGTAAATATTGAAACGAATAGACACTATCACATTTAAATAGAGATCTGCATGCATACATACAATACACATCACAAGGAAAAACAATTCACATCTTTTTGACAACTCGGAGCATTTGTTTTCACAAAAAACTGACTAGGAACACTTATGTGGAGAACTTATAAATATAAAACATATATAAACGCTATTTATAATGAGCACTTTGTAAATATATTAATAGCAAAAATATAATACATATAGAACATTATGCACATACAAAATCATGTCAGCACAATTAAGTGTAGGCTGAGATTTTAACAAAAACAAATTTTGATTTCAATATATTCTGTTGCAAAAATGAAAAAAAGTGATAGGACTTTAGACAGAGACTACATAAGCCTTCTCTCTATAACTCCGGTATGACAAAGTTGTTGTAATCAACAAACAAACGCATTAACAATACAATCAGCATATTCATGTCTCCATCAGATAAAGGTATTTTCAATGAATTCAATAATCACATTCTGATATATATCGAAATGAAACTTGATTTGTCTTTCTCATAAATATGGCATCCATAAAATATCAATGTAATATCACAAGGATTGTCTTCAGATCAAGATATAGTTATAATTAAACAAAACAATATCACCGGGAATTACCGGAAGATCAAAATATAGCTATACTATAGTTCTAGAATATAGAATATCAACGAGAATAAAAAAAATCAATACATGAAATAATGCAGTTCAGCAATACAATATCACTCGGAAATATTTTGAATCAAATCTAGTACAACAATCTCGTAATGCTAAACCGTCTGAATATTTACACTAATCTTTTCACTAATGACCGACTACAAAAACACTACCCTGCCAACCAGAAACGTGAGATCGTCGACAATGAACTACACCACAAAATGTAGATATATTTGAATACATTAGCATGTCTATTCAGATGTACGTAAAGGGTATATTTAACTTCATGGCAAGATTTTTTTGTCAGAGCAATCTTTGTTCCTCCTTAATATCGACTGGAATTACAAATTATAGAGGTGTGCGTAAAATTGTTAAGGCATCACTTTGTGTGTGTGTTACAGATACCGTCACTCACAACTATACCATTCAATAGTACATCAGAAAACATCACATGACGTGTGTTACATCAGAAAACATCGCCATTGTGTGTCTGTTACATCAGAAAGCATCACATTGTCTGTCACATCAGAAAACATCACATTGTGTGCCTATTACATCAGAAAACATCACACTGTGTGTCTGTTACATCAGAAAACATCACATTGTTTGTCTGTTACATCAGAAAACATCACATTGTGTGTCTGTTACACCAGAAAACATCATATTGTGTGCCTATTACATCAGAAAACATCACACTGTGTGTCTGTTACATCAGAAAACATCACATTGTTTGTCTGTTACATCAGAAAACATCACATTGTGTGTCTGTTACACCAGAAAACATCATATTGTGTGTCTGTTACATCAGAAAACATCACACTGTGTGTCTGTTACATCAGAAAACATCACATTGTGTGTCTGTTACATCAGAAAACATCACAGTGTCTGTTACATCAGAAAACATCACATTGTGTGTCTGTTACATCAGAAAACATCACATTGTATGTCTGTTACATCAGTAAACATCACATTGTGTGTCTGTTACTGTCACCCACAACTATATCATTCAATAGTACATCAGAAAACATCACATTGTGTGTATGTTACATCAGAAAACATCACTTTGTGTGCCTGTTACATCAGAAAACATCACATTGTGTGTCTGTTACATCAGAAAACATCACATTGTGTGTCTGTTACATCAGAAAACATCACATTGTGTGTCTGTTACCGTTACTCACAACTATACCATTCCATTGTACATCAGAAAACATCACAGTGTGTGTCTGTTACATCAGAAAACATCACATTGTGTGTCTGTTACATCACAAAACATCACATTATGTGTCTGTTACATAAGAAAACATCACATTGTGGGTCTGTTACATCAGTAAACATCACATTGTGTGTCTGTTACTGTCACACACAACTATGTCATTCAATAGTACACCAGAAAACATCACATTTTGTGTCTGTTACATCTGAAAACATCACATAGTGAGTCTGTTACATCAGTAAACATCACATTGTGTGTCTGTTACATCACAAAACATCACATTGTGTGTCTGTTACACCAGAAAACATCACATTGTGTGTCTGTTACATCAGTAAACATCACATTGTGTGACTGTTACTTTCGCCCACAACTATACCATTCAATAGTACATCAGAAAACATCACATTATGGGTCGTTAAAGATACTGTTACACTCAACCATACACTACTTTAGTACCTATGGGATAATACAATTTGACAGATAAAACTGGTGATAAAACTAGTATGATGAGAATGATGAGTTATATACCCGTTTAACTTTAATCTTCAAACTGAATATTGAGTATTGATATAAACTCTTTCCCATTACATGTTTTCGCAATCAAAATAACAAATGTGATCTGCATATCATATAACATCATGTCAGTGATTATACTAACTTTCCCTGTATCTTCGCATGAAGCCGAAAAGAAGCACACAATATGTAAACATTACAAAGCCAATGAAAAGACGTCTATGAAATGTAACAGATCGTAAAGAGCGGTTCCGTTGTAGAATAGTGGGGATTTCTCGCTGTGAGGCTATAGTTAGGCTTACCAAGAGCGATATAATATCGGAGCCAATCAGCATATAGAAGACATTGTTCCAGCCTGTTGTCTCAATTATACCTGCCAGCAGTGGACCAATAGCAGCACCTGGGGATTATAGTCATAAAAGTTATAGGGTGTAATATCTTAGATCTAAGATTTGATTCCTCAATGGGAAACCTCTGTATAAAAATTGAACCAAACAAAATGTGACTAAAAGATTCATCAGAAAGCATAATTTAGTATGGATACCTATCAAGGCGAGCTGTGTATAAAGTTAGATTTGGTAAAGTAATCTTCACTCACGTACGAGAGTCGAATGTATTGGCCATCCACTTTGGTGGACAGGACGTACTCGCCTCTCACCTAGGTGAGTGGTATCAACTTTGAGCGTGATATGTACGCGCTACCCATCTACGTGAGCGATATGCACTTGCCACTAACCTAGGTGAGCAGTACGAACTCAAAATTAACCGAGGTAAGTGGTGTGAATACGCCACACTCAAAGGTGTATGGTTTCTGACCATTGTGTCAATTATGGAAAGTAGGTGACCTCAATGAATTCGTGTTCTTATACCTCTGTCTACTGCAATAACCATAACCCCTATCTTCCCACACCTGTACTTTCATACGGGTTACCAACCAACTTATATTGATAATTCTTTCAGATACTGTACGATATCAAAGTCGGATGAAATCGGATAAAATTCCATAAAGGTCGGGCAGTAATTCCACTTCTTTTTACTTCCGATCAGGGAATCAAACTGCGGCCGTCAAGGTGACAAGCTAGTGCGTAAAAACTGTTCATCCAACCATCAATACTTGGTAATTTAAATACAAATTACCATTTATCAGACCTGAGTATAAGCATACACATTTTTATTCACAAACACCACTCATATCTATGCAATCAAAATTTAACTAAATGTGGATAGCCGGCCACATAAAACTGGGTTTATGTAGCCGTGTTAGCAAGAAATACATCAAGATCCCAATCATCTGCAATAATGGAGGCAGAAAATAAGGCGACTTAACAAAACCCACCAGTCTATGATGAATACAGTAAAATGAATATGGCCGAAACCAGCTGTCTTGCAGTATTAGATTTGAAATTAAATCCTCCAATTCAAATATGTCTCACAGATCAGTGCAACAATGTCCGTTACGGTGTCTTATCGTAACACGGAAGGACTTACCTATACTTCCGGTACCGTCTATGATTGCTGTGACGGTAGCCAGTGCCTTGGAATTACCCTGTAAGACTTTGTGTGTTCCCAGGTCAGCGCTTACTGCAGTAGTTATTAAGGCATACGGGCCATTAACCATGAATCCACAGAGAAGAGAGAGCCCTAAAAAAGCCAAAATTCAAAATAGTTCTAAGAGATGTGTACTTCACATTATGACTTTTCCACCCAAATTCTACATGCCTATTCAGTCAAATATTCAATGACACTTTGGTATATTAAATAACAAATAATTACTGTCATTGACAAAACCAAATTAAAGTACCATATTTTGGTGTTGAGAAGACTTTTGAAATTGAAATCAACTTTACCCTTTCTTTGCCCCGCCCACTAACCACAGAGGGTGTATGTGGGAGAGGCGGGATCAGGGTCAATCTGCGCATACCATCAAACTGTCATACTACACTAACTATTCTGACCGAGCGTATGAACGAACTAAATATAAATGCTACAAAATGCATTTTCATATATAAATTGTACTAACGTTTATCCCATTATCATCAATGATTATTCTTTAATTCTAACACATCTAGGTGTTGAAAAGATTTTTGAAATTTGAGTCAATTTGATCCCTTTTAAGCCAAGGTTCATATGCCCCTTGGGGTTGGAGATCGTTTAATTCACAATTTCGATTCATCTCTAGTCAGGGAAGTTTTTTTTATAAATCTTTATTGAAAACGATTCAGGATATCTTCACAAGAAACAGAAAATGTTAAATAGCATTTGTAAAAGGTCATCATGAAACGTTTTCCACGTAACTTAATAAGACACCTTATATCGCACGATTCAGAAAACCCATGTGTTAAACTAAAATACGGAGGTCACAATATAATAGTGTCATCCATTTGTTGCTCCAGATTCAGTACATAAGGTTATGTCACTGTACATATGATACTACCATTGATTTTTGACTGACACAGCCAATGAAAAATACTTCAGTGTATGTTATAAAAGACACATGAACATATTTTTTTTTGTATGTTCGAATTCACTCTACAACATATTCTTGTTACACAATACAAGTTTACCTACCTATACTATGAGCCAGGTCGATGCTTCCATAAAGGTTATATATATACATCTGAAAAAAATACACATGTCGATTTCTGTTAATAACAAACATTTACACAAATTGAAACTGGGCTGTCTACATTGGGAATTTATTTACCTGATGCATTACATTTTACAAACTTGCATACCTACGCACAGTAAAAATAAATATAAGTTTATGGAGCTTTATTTTCAACAAAACGAAATGTCCACAAAAAAATCATTATGAAAAACCTCCGAAATTTGAGTCCCATGAAAATACATGACTTTACAGTCCAGACTGATAAGGCGTCATTTGAATCAATTATGGCGTCATTAAAATGTGTGACGATCATATTCTACCAGTCCTAAACATAGTTATATAATGACCACTAAATATTTTAATTGCATTGAAAACGACCACGAACGGTAAATATATACCGTACTTTACTACAACTGAAATCCTTAAGAGTCGCAGAATATTTTATGTATTATTACATAAGACTGATATTTACAACTGCCGTCTGGACATATTGACAAACCTTTATCTATACGTGTACATCCTTATTTTGAAGATTGCAGAATGAACTTTTTACAAAAAATTTAATACATAGCGTAGTTACCGTTTTGGAAAATAATTACTTCAAAGTCTTAAATATTGAAAAAAGGGGAAAAATAGTCGGCGACCCCTGGAAACATACCGGTATTTACATTAGAATAAGTCACCTACGACACTTTCACGGTAAACCTTGGTCAATCGTGTGTCGCATTGTTAATTAGGAACAATCTTAACGAAAATGACAGCCATGTTTACCAGGTAAATGGAACATTTAATACATTACCATGTAAATTCATATCATAGATGGTGACAAGAATCATTCACAATGTTATCAAGCCTGTCATAAACACGTACCACTGGCGCAGCTAACATCAGCTGTATAACACATGTGGTGGCTCTTGCTCCTGTGTAGTCGGAAAGTAAGCCTGCCGCTATACCCCCTATTTAACAATGGATACATCAATTAGGGTGTGATGATGCACTGTTCATCATGTAGATATAATTGTACGAAAGTTAATAGCACCTTTCAATACAAACATACAATTGGATAAAGTGAAGCCAAAAACGACGTTTACTGAATTGTCCATTTGTTTCCTCTTTTGGAGACTTGTCATTGATGTAAAATGAGACTTTATAAGAAAATTGTTAGGTGTTATATCCTCAAGTATGTGCTGCTTGATTTTAAGGAATCTATGTATGCCATGCGTGCGAACTTGTGCGCGACTATGTTGCCAATATGTACGTCACCTGTCCTGTGTTTGTTGTTACACTGTTACGTGATGTTATGTAAATGTGGTGATACGAGTAGGGTAATTGTTGAAATGTTTCCTTATATGATTACGCAGAACATATAGTTCCACACGGCTAAATATGAATGAACATTGTACACTTATTTATCGTGAACCTATAAAGGTGTTTCTTTATCAAATTAGGGAAATAGCAGGAAGATGTTCATTTAACATAATGTCCGTCATATCATAGATCTATTATAATGATCATGCCAGTTGTTGAAGTAATTGTATTGCAGGGCTTCTAAAGCATTTTAATTATATAAACATCACGAATGGTTAATTGACCTTTCATTTATCCACATAACTTTCACAACTTTACATAAACACTGATTTATACTCTTCAGGTGCTATTTTGGGAATTTGCCATTTCAAAGTGACAGGGTTACATTTTATATATATTAGAACAAATTCGTTTGCAGCATAGACCCACCTAGTGGCTGTCTTTTAAAGAGATTAAAAAAGGTTGTTAAAAGGAAAATGGTAAGAAATAGACATTAGTACCAAATATGCCACCGACATCAAAGAGTGTTGACAGATCGGCAGCCTTCTCAGCATCAATATCAGCTGTCAGAAAAAAAGGAATAAACTAATCATTTCGTTCTGAATATCATATAAACATTTTCAATATTGAAACGATAAGTATCGCCAACATCACAACTCAAACGAATCTTAAGATCATTACAAATTGATGTGAAATTACCGAATATTTATGTTATAATGAAGAAAATAAATCATTAATACATTTTTCCCGATATACTGAGCAAGGTACTCCCTGCCTATTGAACTTCATACATGTGTGTTTTACATCAGTTTTATCATTTTAATATTAAAATTACAATTAAGAGTTCCAGTTTGAACATGCAGTAGAAGGGGTCATTTTAAGATATTTTAAAACAAAGCAGAAAAATGTAAAAAAAAATTACACACAAGAAACACAAGTGAATAACTTCTTTCAATCAATGTGTTACACAAAGTAGATCCAAACAATGTTTTAATCTGCACCATACAGTTGTTTCCTAACTCTCAGACTCCCCAGGAAATGTAAGGGTCTAATTTTTGAAGCATAGGAAGTGTCTGAGGTAAATCCAAAGTGATGAAAAAATATCAATCTTGATGGGCGATGCCCCATAATTCAATAAATCATGTCATTATATATATGGTAATGTTAGAAAAACTTCAAGTTCATGACTTTGTTCTAAACAATGCATCTAATCGAATGATTTTAAAATGTGGAACATAGAGCACACGAATGCTTGATATATTGTTAATTTATTGACTCAATACTGTATCAGTTTTATGTGTCGGTAAATAAAATTCAGACAAGGAGACGGTATGTGTTTAAATTATAGACATTTTAGGAGATATCACCTTGATTATATAACAAATCATATCAAATTCTAATTTTGTCAAGAGAATGTACCCATTACCACCTGATCAAAATCTTAAAGCTTGTTAGAATGACGAGACAAATAAAATTACTTTAATATTAAATTTAGGCAAAATATCATTCATTGATGATTTTCTCCATGCTAACTCTACTGAAGGACTCGCGTATATAAATCAGCCAATGAACCACTGGGATTTCGTTTCTTATCTGAGAGTTCCTACATAAAGTGAAATTTGCTGCAAATTTGCCCCCTCTAGGGTTTATATGTATACTTGGTGACAGATGAAAGAGGCCTGCATTTATTTAGCCATTTAATCTACTAAATTATGCTATATGTAGCCTTCGACAGGTATGTTTCTCTCAATCTAGATGGTTGTTATTTGTGGTGAACTTCAAATACTAATTGCTATTTGCAGAAATGTAAAAACATATTAAAATCTTCCTTTGAACACAGTTAGTAGTCCTTCATTCTAGCATACAGCATGCCCCATAGCAGCAACCTCGGCCTTTTGGCTATAAAGATGAGGTGGTTTGAATGAAAACTTTATACAGGGTAAACAAAGAAGACACCACACAACGGTTATAGCTCATCTAGACTCTTCAGGTCAGATGACATGAAGAACAGAAAACTAAAATGTCTTGAAAATAACATCGTTTAAAGTTCTGTCATACTTACATTTACTGCTGATGTACTTTGGCAGCCAGAAGAGAAACGTGTAGCTTACAAGTTTTGCGAAGAACAAACATATCGAAAATTCCACCACTCCCTGTACACCATAACGTAATGTAAAATATATATCAAACTGTAGGAAATTCAAGTACACTGTGTTATCTTTAAACACATTTCTTCAGATAATAACACTAATAAAGATCTGTCAAACTTTTAATTTCAAATCTACACATTGTGTGAAAACATATATCAACCATAATATGTATCTTACATGTAGTTTCAATGACAAACAAAATCAATTATTACGTGTGATAATTAAACAGGTAATAATAATTATAGGACTTCAAGGCCTTGCAGAATTACACTTGTACAAACAAACATGATGTCTGAAGTTAAACAAATCAATAAAGACACAATAATAATTTTGTTTTCTATTTAGTATTATACAATTAAACAAACCAATAGTGATATCGTGCTTACCGGAATCCGCAGTGCTGCAAAGAAATTAATTGCTTTTTCCTTTTGCGCCGGTGTCTTGATAAAATTTGTGGTACTGTTGTAATCCTAAAGAAAAAAAATACAAATATGTACGAACACATTCATATTGAAGCAATATCAACAAATTAAAAACCGAGAAAATCCAGGAGTTAAAGTTAGATAGATGTTACAGAATCTAGAAATTTCACAACTTTACATATCTAAAAATGAGCCGATACCGACAATTTTACCAAAAACAACAGAATAATAAGTTGATATTTCAGAATAGTTAATCATAAAGTTTTAAAAAACCAAAAAAGTACAAATATACTACATTTACAATCATTTTCAGATGATGACAAAATCAATGTCTGAAAATAAAACTATAAACAGGCTTTACACACATTCAAAACTGGTTGGACACACATAATATATATAAACACAATGTTTAAATATGGCAGATGAAGCTTGTATCTAGCTTACTAGTATCTATAAACAACAAGGATTATATGCAGACATTGAAGGTAAAAGTACATTTCAAACCGATGCTTGGATGTTAGTGAACTTTGTAAAAGGCATTGAATTCTGAATGAGTGAACTTAATGTGAACTTAAACATAATGTTAGCAGGAATTTGATTGGATAGGGTGTATCTGGGTCAAGTTGCGAATATCGAGGGTCAATATTAAGCGTCGAAATTGAGAAGTATGAGATGCTTGTTGGATTTGTTCTAGCTAGAATACTATACGTACAATCCGTAATCTAAACAAATTATATTATTTGGAAAAGTCTTATATCCAATGTAAAGGACTGTAACGCTTACATTTTCATATTCTTGTATCATGTACAAATGCCTGTCTATTTCTCCAAGTCATATTTATGTAAATTATCTTACATACAACATGCATTTGTGAAACATTTCCATATCACTGAGAATCCATTACAGTAAACTGAATGAGAGATCAGAAAATATGTATAATACATAGATACATGGATGGGAAATAATTCAAGAATATTTTGTAATACAATACCAATGTTCTGATTTTAGCAGAATACACATTGAAGATGAGATTATGATCAGATATAATAATATTCCTATTTTGGCTGTATATTAGGTCTAATTGATGATATCGTTATGCAATATGCAAATGTATGAAGTAACACCTTTTTAACTCCTGGGCCCGTATTCATGAAAGCGTTCTCATGCTCAAGCATGAATTTTGTGCTGTCACAATATATTAAACTTCAAGAGTACGAATGAAAATATAATACATGCACGCATTCATTTAATAAATACGGGGACATTTTACCAGAATGTATTTGTTAATGTGTAATATTGAGATTACACATTAACAAATACATTCTGGTAAAATGATTAACAAAAAGTTTATTGGAACAAAATGTTAATTAAGAGACAACAGCTGGAAGTTCCAACAAGAGATTACACTGCATGTATTTTACAGTGAAATATAACATCTGTGTTTGGAAACAATATTTCTTTTAATTTTCGGTCAAAATGCTTGAGAATTACTTTCATCATTTGTGGAATGGACCGCACAGAAATTTCAACCATTCTTCTTATTGTACAATTAGGTATTTAGATATTTAATAAATAGTTAGATATTTAGATACGATCAGGTCATAATTTCGCTATCGAAATGTGTCTGAAATTCGTGTCATTTCTGTCATTATTAAGTAGACGAACAGAAAATTACGTTTAGTGTACAGACATGTTGACGGTTGTATTTTCATTTAGTTTTGTATAACGTCCACCATTGTAAATTAACATTCATGTTCTCTTTTTAGTGAATGACTTAGACATATAACGTTAATAAATTCTGTTTTTGTTTCCCAAAAAATTCGAAATATCTATCGCAATTCACATATTCTTATCAATAATTTCACTTATTTTTTTCATGTTCATATGTACAGACACAACTTTCCGGTGGTAATACAGAAACTTGAAGGTCTTGAATCAACAGCGCCTCCTTCTCGGAAATCATACAGTTTCAGACTTCTAAACATTCATCCTAATGGTTTGTTTAGATGTATAGATCAAATCTAAATTCAGATCACTTGAGTAAGGTTGAAGCTAGTTTAATTCGCTGAGCGGTATTCAAGAGTCACTTTTTGACCGACACACAGGAAACTGTGGAATATCAATAACTATCAAACAACGTTCAAACCAGCAACTATTTTACATTTAATTATAGATATTAAAAAGCAAAAACGCAAACTAAATTATCCTACAAATTACTAAGTCTAGAAAATTTCCCAATGAACATTATCTGGTAAGAAATAATATGCATTGATAAATCCAACCATGTAAACATCTGGCGATCATTTAGTATCTGGCTGGTGGAACGTTGGGTCATGTTACACTCTAGGTTTATCCGCGATCATTTAGTATCTGGCTGGTGGAACGTTGGGTCATGTTACACTCTAGGTTGATCCGCGATCATTTAGTATCTGGCTGGTGGAACGTTGGGTCATGTTACACTCTAGGTTGATCCGCGATCATTTAGTATCTGGCTGGTGGAACGTTGGGTCATGTTACACTCTAGGTTGATTCGCAATCATTTAGTATCTGGCTGGTGGAACGTTGGGTCATGTTACACTCTAGGTTGATCCGCGATCATTTAGTATCTGGCTGGTGGAACGTTGGGTCATGTTACACTCTAGGTTGATCCGCAATCATTTAGTATCTGGCTGGTGGAACGTTGGGTCATGTTACACTCTAGGTTGATCCGCGATCATTTAGTATCTGGCTGGTGGAACGTTGGGTCTTGCTACACTCTAGGTTGATCCGCAATCATTTAGTATCTGGCTGGTGGAACGTTGGGTCATGTTACACTCTAGGTTGATCCGCGATCATTTAGTATCTGGCTGGTGGAACGTTGGGTCATGTTACACTCTAGGTTGATCCGCGATCATTTAGTATCTGGCTGGTGGAACGTTGGGTCATGTTACACTCTAGGTTGATCCGCAATCATTTAGTATCTGGCTGGTGGAACGTTGGGTCATGTTACACTCTAGGTTGATCCGCAATCATTTAGTATCTGGCTGGTGGAACGTTGGGTCATGTTACACTCTAGGTTGATCCGCAATCATTTAGTATCTGGCTAGTGGAACGTTGGGTCATGTTACACTCTAGGTTGATCCGCGATCATTTAGTATCTGGCTGGTGGAACGTTGGGTCATGTTACACTCTAGGTTGATCCGCGATCATTGGACCCCGTACATTAAAGCTGATGGCAATGAAATAATACATCTAGCCATAATGTTCTTGAACATCAATGCTTCTTTCGGGAACAAAACCACGACGAGAAGATACATAATATATCTCCCTGACGATTTTACAACATTTATACAAGAATATTATTAGTGCTCGCTGTTTTTCATGTTGTTAAAATACATGTTTGGCGAGTGTTTTATAACTCTGCATTTCGTTCCCTCTACTGAAGCCTTAAATGACACACTCACGTGTTCGACTCGAGCTTCTTTTTTCGTTTTACTTTTATTTTAGTTCTTTTGTTTATTACTGCATTTTCAGGCTGCAAATAGGAATGAAATCGAAATTGTTTCAATCAGTGCAGACGACACGATGGTTACACGAAGCAGGTTAGAGGTAGTGCAGTAGAAATGTGTTCCGCTACCTACATTAGACACTGTGTCATAATGGTTGACATTGTGTAATGTTCCCAGCAGCTGTTTATTCTGAAAAGAACCAGTATATAATGCTGATGAAACATTTAGGGCTGTATTTGATATACATATGCAAAATAAAAAAAAAAAAAACTTTTGACTATTTAAGCCCTTCCGCACCAACACAGACACAAAAATATTGTGTCTTTTTCCTACATGGATGCTTATAAAAGGTTACTCTTGCGACAAACCTACAACGTAAGACAAAACATTTTGTCGTTAATATGACCTGCATATCTGCAGCATCTTTATGCCATTTAGATTTAAGATCACATCTTAACTTTGTATAAAACATAGCCTGCATCATGCATAATCCACAGCCTGGAAAATAAAGGGATTCTATCATTACAGCTATTTTTACTAAGAGTCATTATACAAAAACAATGATTTCACCATGTATCATTTATCAAAAAAATATTGAGTAATATATTAAAATGAACTACATAAATACATGCTAGCCAATCGAATCACATGGAAGCAGTTAGCCCATCACCAATTCCGATACAGTCGGTGCGTGCAGACAATAGTAAGGATGTTCTCCCAACTGATATATCAACAACGCTAATCAAAGGAACTTAGCAATCGATTCCTTGATTCCAAGGTAAGAAAGGGTCAATGTTACGCTACATAACAGTAAATAGTCTGTCCATACCAACAACTGTAGCATAGGTCTCTAGCAAATATCAGGTAACATGGCAACACAAAAGCTCTCCCCGAACTTTTTTTAAATTTAGCATAATTGACTATTGTGATGCACAAATATATGGTCTTGTTTCAGTAAAATATTACATCACTAGTTAATCAATTTGAAGGCATCTACTATATGAAATTTTGCAGAATGACCTTAAACGCCAAAAACAGAAAGTCAGATCAGATTCTCTTTATATTACAAAACCAGATAAAAAGACAAAAAAGACTGTAAATAACGATAAATTATAATTATTATTTTCATTTATATATTTTACTATTATTAATAACTTGGATGTTGAATAATCTTTTGACAGATATATGTGTTGTGTTTCCCAATGCGCAGATTATCAAAAAGCCACAGTACTATCAACGAATATATAAGTCTACAACCGCAGGATGTACAAATCTCAAGGGATATCACATGTCCATACCGTTCCCATGGTGACCTTGTGGGATATGGGCAAATTATCGAGTGTCTTGCATGGCGACATGGTGATTATGGATACAATCTGGTTCCCGGGTCTAATGGCTTCTCCCGCTGGTGTGTCACAAGAAATGCTCGCCCCTGAGAGGGGCGGCTTTGTAACAGCATCAGCCATAGCCACCTTCAGTTCAACCTATAGAAAATGCACCACCCATTGATCATATCAGGTGTATCACTCTGTTGGTTGTATTAATCATGTACAGACCGTGTAGCCATGAAATTTTCCTCCTTTTAAAACAGTGTTGTAAGACAGTTTTAAATATACATCAGCTTGAGACAGATGTAACGCCGAAAGCTGTCTTTTAAGTACCCATATTGGTTTAACAAATCAATTTAAAACTGTAATCGATATGAAATTGATATACTTCTCTTTGACTGATATTTATATCAGTAATTCTTAAATTGATCAACCTTCATTACAATAAACAGGATGACCTAAGTACTTCAACCCATTACTGTATCAGGTAAATATTTTTTTCATCCAATTAAATGATAAATAAATCAATATGGTTGAATTAACTTTAGTAAACCACATTCCATACAGTGTTAACACCATTAGTCTTTTTGATCTCACAGCCAACAAAGTATCAACAACAACAGAAGTCTTGATAACACAGTCAACAAAACATCAACAACAACAGAAGTCTTGATCTCACAGTCAACAAAGCATCAACAACAACAGAAGTCTTCATCTCACAGTCAACAAAACATCAACATCAACAGAAGTCTTGATCTCACAGTCAACAAAGCATCAATAATAACAGGAGTCTTGATCTCACAGTCAACAAAGCACCAATAATAACAGGAGTCTTGATAACACAGTCAACAAAACATCAACAACAACAGAAGTCTTGATCTCACAGTCAACAAAGCATACCGGTAAACAACTGAATAACATTTCACTTGACATGATCACAGCACATCATCGACACTGACCTTATCTTTAAGTCATAGAATAGTAAATATATATATATATATATATATATATATATGAGATTGGTGTTAATGACAAAACGGATTGCTGTATCTTAATGTCACCTTATCTGTATAGATTCTGGTATTTAAAACAATTTTTGATTTGATGATACCTGTAATTGTGAAATTAGAAAATGAAGAAATGGTTAGTTAATGGATCTTACAATTATCAATATAATAATAAACAAAATCAATTATGCAAGCAGATAAGTAATGATGAAATCACATGTAGATCCTATCAAAACTCAGTTAATTCTGGTAACACAAATAAGATTTGGTTAGTAAACTAAACAACAAAGTATATAAATAAACAATTCTCATGCAAACATCAAATGTTTAAGTACAATGATTAATAAAGGGTGCTCAGACAGGAATACAAAACAGAACCTAAGTGACTATTGCTAATCAAAATTAAAAAAATAAAAATAAATTTCATAACTAATTTCAATTATTAATCAGTACAGTTTTTAAGTTAGGGTGTCATGTTCAAGATAATGCACCTGTATGTATAGTTCTAAACCCATTTCAAAAATCAATATATCAATATTTACATTGTATGTATGTCTACTCGAGGTTACTTGTAATTATCGGGATTATGGAATCTTACAAATATGTATAACTAAGAAAAAAGTAAGAACGCTTAAAGATAATGAGATAATTAATAAGACAGTTGAGAGATAATTAAAAAGAAATCTACGAGATAATTAATAAGACAGTTGAGAGATAATTAATAAGAAATCTCAGAGATAATTAATAAGATATCTCAGAGATAATTAATAAGAAATCTCAGAGATAATTAATAAGAAATCTCAGAGATAATTAATAAGAAATCTCAGAGATAATTAATAAGAAATCTCAGAGATAATTAATAAGATATCTCAGAGATAATTAATAAGATATCTCAGAGATAATTAATAAGAAATCTCAGAGATAATTAAAAAGAAATCTCAGAGATAATTAATAAGAAATCTCAGAGATAATTAATAAGAAATCTCAGAGATAATTAATAAGAAATCTCAGAGATAATTAATAAGAAATCTCAGAGATAATTAATAAGAAATCTACAGAGATAATTAATAAGAAATCTCAGAGATAATTAATAAGAAATCTCAGAGATAATTAATAAGAAATCTCAGAGATAATTAATAGGAAATCTCAGAGATAATTAATAAGAAATCTCAGAGATAATTAAAAAGAAATCTCAGAGATAATTAATAAGAAATCTCAGAGATAATTAGAGATAGGAAATCTCAGAGATAATTAATAAGAAATCAGAGATAATTAAATAAGAAATCTCAGAGATAATTAATAAGAAATCTCAGAGATAATTAATAAGAAATCTCAGAGATAATTAATAAGAAATCTCAGAGATAATTAAAAAGAAATCTCAGAGATAATTAATAAGAAATCTCAGAGATAATTAATAAGAAATCTCAGAGATAATAAGAAATCTCAGAGATAATTAATAAGAAATCTCAGAGATAATTAATAAGAAATCTCAGAGATAATTAATAAGAAATCTCAGAGATAATTAATAAGAAATCTCAGAGATAATTTTTTAAAAAAAGCTAAATTAAGCTAAGGGATAATTAATAAGAAATCTCAGAGATAATTAAAAAGAAATCTCAGAGATAATTAATAAGAAATCTCAGAGATAATTAATAAGAAATCTCAGAGATAATTAATAAGAAATCTAAGAGATAATTAATAAGAAATCTCAGAGATAATTAAGAAAGAAATAAGAAATCTCAGAGATAATTAATAAGAAATCTCAGAGATAATTAATAAGAAATCTCAGAGATAATTAATAAGAAATCTCAGAGATAATAAAAATAAGAAATAAGAAATCTCAGAGATAATTAATAAGAAATCTCAGAGATAATTTAATAAGAAATCTCAGAGATAATTAATAAGAAATCTCAGAGATAATTAAAAAGAAATCTCAGAGATAATTAATAAGAAATCTCAGAGATAATTAATAAGAAATCTCAGTGATAATTAATAAGAAATCTCAGAGATAAGTGATAAGAAATCTACGAGATAATTAATAAGAAATCTCAGAGATAATTAATAAGAAATCTCAGAGATAATTTTAAAAAAAAGCTAAATTAAGCTAAGGGATAATTAATAAGAAAGCTCAGAGATAATTAAAAAGAAATCTCAGAGATAATTGATAAGAAATCTCAGAGATAATCAGAGATAATTAATAAGAAAATAAGAAATCTCAGAGATAATTTAATAAGAAATCTCAGAGATAATTAATAAGAAATCTCAGAGATAATTAAAAAGAAATCTCAAGATAATTAATAAGAAATCTCAGAGATAATAAAAAATTCTAAGCTAAGATAATTAATAATTAATAAGAAATCTCAGAGATAATTAAAAAGAAATCTCAGAGATAATTAATAAGAAATCTCAGAGATAATTAATAAGAAATCTCAGAGATAATTTTTTAAAAAATAAGAAATCTAAGAAAAGATAATTCAGAGATAAATAAGAAATCTCAGAGATAATTTAAGAAAAAAAAAGCTAAATAAGCTAAGAGATAATTAATAAGAAATCTCAGAGATAATTTAATTAAATAAGAAATCTCAGAGATAATTAATAAGAAATCTCAGAGATAATTAATAAGAAATCTCAGAGATAATTAATAAGAAATCTCAGAGATAGTTAATAAGAAATCTACGAGATAATTAATAAGAAATCTCAGGGATAATTAATAAGAAATCTCAGAGATAATTAAAAAGAAATCTCAGAGATAATGAATAAGAAATCTCAGAGATAATTAAAAAGAAATCTCAGAGATAATTAATAAGAAATCTCAGAGATAATTAAAAAGAAATCTCAGAGATAATGAATAAGAAATCTCAGAGATAATTAATAAGAAATCTCAGAGATAATTTAAAAAAAAAAGCTAAATTAAGCTAAGGGATAATTGATAATAAATCTCAGAGATAATTAAAAAGAAATCTCAGAGATAATGAATAAGAAATCTCAGAGATAATTAATAAGAAATCTCAGAGATAATTTAAAAAAAAAAGCTAAATTAAGCTAAGGGATAATTGATAATAAATCTCAGAGATCATCTTTAAAAAAAAGCTAAATTAAACTAAGGGATAATCAATAATAAATCTCAGAGATAATTAATAAGAAATCTCAGAGATAATTAAAAAGAAATCTCAGAGATAATTAATAAGAAATCTCAGAGATATTGAATAAGAAATCTCAGAGATAATTAAAAAGAAATCTCAGAGATAATTTAAAAAACAAAGCTAAATTAAGCTAAGGGATAATCAATAATAAATCTCAGAGATAATTAATAAGAAATCTCAGAGATAATTATAAGAAATCTCAGAGATAATTAAAAAGAAATCTCAGAGATAATTTTTAAAAAAAGCTAAATTAAGCTAAGGGATAATTAATAACAAATTTTAGAGATAATTAATAAGAAATCTACGAGATAATTTTAAAAAAAAGCTAAATTAAGCTAAGGGATAATTAATAAGAAAACTCAGAGATAATTAATAAGAAATCTACGAGATAATTTTTTTTAAAAAAAAGCTAAATTAAGCTAAGGGATAATTGATAATAAATCTCAGAGATAATTAATAAGAAATCTCAGAGATAATTGATAAGAAATCTCAGAGATAATGAATAAGAAATCTCAGAGATAATTAATAAGAAATCTCAGAGATAATTTAAAAAAAAAAAAAAAGCTAAATTAAGCTAAGGGATAATTGATAATAAATCTCAGAGATAATTAATAAGAAATCTACGAGATAATTAATCAGAAATCTCAGAGATAATTAATAAGAAATCTCAGAGATAATTAATAAGAAATCTCAGAATAATTAATAAGAAATCTACAGAGATAATTAATCAGAAATCTCAGAGATAATTAATAAGAAATCTCAGAGATAATTAATAGGAAATCTCAGAGATAATTAATAAGAAATCTCAGAGATAATTAATAAGAATAATCTACGAGATAATTAATCAGAAATCTCAGAGATAATTAATAAGAAATCTCAGAGATAATTAATAAGAAATCTACGAGATAATTAATAAGAAATCTACGAGATAATTTTTACATCTACAGCCTAATGGTCACTAATATGCAGTTTTCATTTGTAATTGATGTTCATCATTGATTTTGGTGTTCGATAGATCAAAGCTACATATATTGATAATCATAATGAAATTTAAGTTTTTTTATTTTGTCTGATATTTCAAAAATTGTCTTAAAAACAGTCAATATACCATCTTAATAAATGTTTATCAATCAAACCCTAAATTTATTAATTAGATTCTGGTAGAAGTAGATGTCTATCTTTTATCTAACTTTAATTCTAAGTAACATAGTATGCAAAACTGATTCGATAGATTAAGTTATTTAAGTTTTTTTATTTAAAACTTTTTTTAATGATAAAGGCTGTTATTAAACTCTAACATCAACAATCAAGGTAATCAGTAATATCTAGGATGCAGGACCCTTCAGAAGGATTGTCAATCGAAGTAGATTGTGTTAAGGATTTACTGGAAAACCATCGATAAAGTAAGTTTACTGACGATTATAAAGTGTAGAATCTGTAACACAAAGATAAAATATCACATACCTCTTCTGATTCTACTTCATCAGTTCTGTCCACACTTTGTTTCGTTGTCGTCACTTTCTGTATAACAAATTTAATCTCGTTACAACAGGCCTTTTCATCGTTGACATATTATGAGACAACTACATTTCCACACTGACAAGTCATTTTACAACTTATCTTTGTTTATTTATAGGATAAAATACACAGAATATTTTGAAGAATATTCATTGTAAGATAATAATTTCATGTGAATTTCATCCCTAAGAAATAAATAAGAATCTGAAGTAAGATTTTAATTTCATACACAATTTATGAAAGGAGCCTATGGAGTTTTTATTCTTTAGAGAATTCAGAATTTAGAGAGAAATTTCAGATACTTTTATCATATATCTCTGAAAAAGATACATCTTATGTTTTTAAAGTAAAACAAAATATCAAGGTATTGATGAGATGTCTCTGTTCGTAGCAACAAGCAGTCTCAAGTGTATTTTATAATCATGACTTGTGTCCTTTTTCAATATAAATATCTCCTTACAGGTAAGAATACAATTTCACAACTTTAAACTGGGGCATAGGCTCTCTGCAGAAATCAATCTATTACAAAATGTTTGATTAAAATATTTTCAATTCTTTGTTTTGCTGTGACTTTCTAGAGAAGTAGTTTTAGATAAATTCACACAACCAGTCAGTATAAAAAAGGAGGTAATTCAGTTGCATAAGAACCGATAGGGTAATTAACAAAGATAACTATAACAAAGGGAAGACAACTCTGTAACTTGAACACTATATATACTTACAGTGCCTTGGTGATCAGGAAGACTACAACCAACATCTTTTGGGTCTGAAATAAAGTTGTTAGAGGCAAAATATAATCATGTTTTATTTATATTAAGATATACTGATGTCACTATTCAAATAAATGCGGCGCTAATATTGAAATATACGTCAGGTAGTGGGAGATAAGTCAATCATGATATACAAATCAGAAAATAATAATTAATATACATGTTAAAATCAAAGGAGGTAAGAGTTGCTTGTGGGAGGTTTGGATCTCTCACCTTAATACTGAGTCAGGATAACAGGTGTTAGAAATAAACATCAATCTACTGAAAGGATTTATCATCCAACATTTAAATGTAAAGACTTGTAATGAAAACTGTTTCATTCATCACAAAATTATTTGAAATTTGAAAATATATCAAAAAGTTGTCTTTTTTATTTTTGCCATTTTTTTAAAAATTAATTATATTTGCTATTAACTAATGGATTTTACCAACAGTTTGGTCATTTTTTCTCAGTTGTGTTTGTTTATTGTTTATGTTGAATAAACAGAGACCCACAGAAATATATTTTCAGTCCTATACCTACGTACAGTGATAACGATTCTCAATATTACCTGGGGTGTTGGTGACTGAGAGCCTGATTGTTTAAATTTGAGTAAAAGTCAGTCATTATATAACGAACAATTTTAATTTCAACAAATTTTATTGCTCAAAAAAGGCAAGAGAAAGGTAAAGAGTATCAGGTATTGCCTATTTCAAGGGAATTCAAAAGTTTATCAATAAAAGGTGATTCACAGTTGAATCTCCTGAAATAATATCAAATTGCTTTTTTAAAAATTATTTCACATTCTGGTCGTACGTGCCAACATCAATGTCGAGCCACCATGCTGTTACAGTAGGTAAGTACACAAACTATATTTATCGAAGTATATATACATTGATTTATTTCGCTGAAAAGTATAATAAACATTTGTGTAATTAACAAGATCTTGTGCAGACTATCCGTGATGACTAGCCGTCAGTTATAACGTACATATGTACAATCTTCAGACATTCACATAATGAATAATTCATCGACCATGTTGTTGGATGCTGTGTCTGTTTGAGACAGAAGATATCACAGCTGTGACATATAATAATATCCTTACACTTACCTGGGACAAGGAAGAAGAACACAAGTATGCCGAGACATGCAATGATGATACCAGGAAGCACAAACGACCAACCCCACATTTTATTGACAAATGCACCGGCGATTAATGAGCCAAGGATATTACCCACAGATGTATGGGAATTCCAGATCCCCATGATAAGGCCGCGCCTAAAAAAAAAATCATTTCAAAAGTATGTGGTGCATAACAATTCTAGTACAGTGATCTCAGGCCACAAAACATCTACTATCTTAGTTCCAAACAATTTATCATAAAAGAATTGTTTATCGTCTTGACAACGGAATTAGTCAAAAGCAAGAACAGACAGATACAGGGAGCAATTGATACAGTGACAAGATAGTAAGAGAGATTAGTGAAAGTGTGGAAGGAATTGAGAAGTCAGTAGAGTTACTTTAAAAGGATATATGTAGTGAGAAAATTCAATGCGGTTTATGATAGGAAGGAACTGACATTAGAAGGGCCAGTCGACTTTTTGCTTTAACAGCAATGGAGATAAAAGCATTAAGAAGGAAACTTTGCAGTTGGAGGAAACAAAATTAAGAAGACATGTTTATATTGTGATCAGAATATGGGAATTGTAGTGTTTATATTGTGATCAGAAGATGGGAATTGTATATACAGAATGAGTTTGGGAAAAGTTATATTGTGGCAGGAACACGTGCAAGAGGAAAAAAAAAAAGGCAGTTAGGTTTTCAGAAGATCTCCATATATAAATGAGATTTGACACAAATATAAAAGATAAAGTAAAAGATAAAGTAAAGATAAAGTAAAAGATAAAGAAAGATAAAGTAAAAGATAAAGTAAAAGATAAAGAAAGATAAAGTAAAAGATAAAGAAAGATAAAATAAAAGATAAAGAAAGATAAAGTAAAAGATAAAGTAAAAGATAAAGAAAGATAAAGTAAAAGATAAGTAAAAGATAAAGTAAAAGATAAGGTAAAAGATAAAGTAAAAGATAAAGTAAAAGATAAAGTAAAAGATAAAGAAAGATAAAGTAAAAGATAAAGTAAAAGATAAAGAAAGATAAAGTAAAAGATAAAGAAAGATAAAGTAAAAGATAAAGAAAGATAAAGTAAAAGATAAAGAAAGATAAAGTAAAAGATAAAGTAAAAGATAAAGAAAGATAAAGTAAAAGATAAAGAAAGATAAAGTAAAAGATAAAGTAAAAGATAAAGAAAGATAAAGTAAAAGATAAAAGATAAAGTAAAAGATAAAGTAAAAGATAAAGAAAGATAAAGTAAAAGATAAAGAAAGATAAAGAAAGATAAAGTAAAAGTAAAAGATAAAGAAAGAAAAATAAAGTAAAAGATAAAGAAATAAAGATAAAGTAAAAGATAAAGAAAGATAAAGTAAAAGATAAAGAAAGATAAAGTAAAAGATAAAGTAAAAGATAAAGAAAGATAAAGTAAAAGATAAAGAAAGATAAAGTAAAAGATAAAAGATAAAGTAAAAGATAAAGAAAGATAAAAAATAAAAAAGATAAAGTAAAAGATAAAGAAAGATAAAGTAAAAGATAAAGAAAGATAAAGAAAGATAAAGTAAAAGATAAAGAAAGATAAAGTAAAAGATAAAGAAAGATAAAGTAAAAGATAAAGAAAGATAAAGTAAAAGATAAAGAAAGATAAAGTAAAAGATAAAGAAAGATAAAGTAAAAGATAAAGTAAAAGATATATCCTACAGTTACTGATTACTTACTTTCCCTTACCATACCAGTTTCCCATACAGGCCACAACAGCCGGCCAACCTGATGACTGAAACATCCCACCAACTGCCTACAATTTAAACATCACGAGTAAAAACACTTAATTCTGAGCTTGTTTAATTATCTGAATTATTATCACGTCCTTCGTAATACACATAGGATGTAGCACAGCCAAAATGTCCTATAAATCCATCAAATCCATCATCATCATCATCATTATCATCGTCATTATTATCATCATCAATCTTTATTTCCCCCTTAAGGGCATTTGAAAGAGAACGCATGGAACTGACAATGTCCATAATTGCTAATAAGATCACAAATTTCAGCTGTTTTTATCACTACCTTCTTGTCACACTTCTTTTCACGTTAACATACAAAGAATCATAATACGGATAAAATGTCTCTTGATTTCACAAGCAATTTCTATATCTTGGTTCAGTTATGCTTCACGTTGGTCATTTGTCCAGTGACGAGGGGCGTACCATACACTAATTCTATGTCTTGGTTCAGTTACGCTTCACGTTGGTCATTTGTCCAGTGACGAGGGGCGTACCATACACTAATTCTATGTCTCGGTTCAGTTACGCTTCACGTTGGTCGTTTGTCCAGTGACGAGGGGCGTACCATACACTAATTCTATGTCTCGGTTCAGTTACGCTTCACGTTGGTCGTTTGTCCAGTGACGAGGGGCGTACCATACACTAATTCTACGTCTCGGTTCAGTTACGCTTCACGTTAGTCGTTTGTCCAGTGACGAGGGGCGTACCATACACTAATTCTATGTCTTGGTTCAGTTACGCTTCACGTTGGTCGTTTGTCCAGTGACGAGGGGCGTACCATACACTAATTCTACGTCTTGGTTCAGTTACGCTTCACGTTGGTCGTTTGTCCAGTGACGAGGGGCGTACCATACACTAATTCTATGTCTTGGTTCAGTTACGCTTCACGTTGGTCGTTTGTCCAGTGACGAGGGGCGTACCATACACTAATTCTATAACTGGTTCATTATGTAGACTTTCGTCACAGTAATTCTGAGGACTAAAAAAGCCTCTCTGTCCGTTATAATAATACTAAACTGAATATCATTACCTGTATAGCTATGTAGTAACCGAGACTGTGAATGTTCCAGAAATATCCCATACCAAACGCTGCTGTCAGTATACCAGTCATAAACATCCCTCCGGACAAGAAGTACCGCAAACTCATCCGCTCCGCTATGTGTCCACTATAAAAAAATAATATGTTTCCAAGATTATTTAACTTCCACATATTATGTATGTATTATCCTAATTTTTTATAGTGTTTGAAATGATATAAACACAATATTTCTTAAATGTGTCTTATTATTGAGATAAACAGAGGTGGTGAACAATAAAGACTGTTTTGAAAAGTACGACGAGTTCATTGTGAAAAACTTGAAAAAAAAATTTTTGAGAGATTAAATTCTAAAAAGTGTCTAATAATTTTATGCAGTGATCTTTTCATGTTCAAAGTGTTATTAATCAATATAATGTATTCATATCATGGAGAGAAATTCTGTAAAGAAAAAGTTCCATTAGAGTTGTCTGGTAAAGATGTACTCCCCTGATGTTTTGACCAAAAGTAAGACATTTTACAATATGAAACTAATTCCAACATATCTTGGACTTCTGTCTCTTTTATATATTTTAACATCTATAGTTTTTACTATAAACTTGAAATTGGGCAATTAATATGATGTTTTGAAGAAATTTCACTGGTGAAATACATTTTGATGGTGTAGTAGACAGCGTGATTTGGTTAAAAGTGTCAACAATTTCAGAGTTTTTTAATTGCTATGATACTTCTCTTGCGTCTTAAGTAGATTCCAAATAAATTCTGCAATAATTATAATCGTATCAAATTAAAGATTTCAAATTCGTAAATTCCAACACTTTCTGGAAATTTTAGGACCAGAAAATGAATGTTTCAGCTTGTTTCTTGGGGAAAAAAGACTATTTGGGTAAAATTGACCAAAAATAATGCAAAGAGACCTCCTATAGTTTAATCACTAAAAGGAACCGTGATAATTTCTCTATCAAAACTTAAAGTATAAGTTAAAAGTTTAATACTAGAAATTGGTCAAATAAAAGATTTTTGTCATTTGGAAACATGTCCATTTTTTGGTTGCTATGCAATGTAAAGCTCATGAAATCAAATGAAAATTTACCATTTTCACACATTTTTTTCTCAATGTCCAAGTATCACACACTTACTTTGTAATGAAAGACGAACATTTATTTTAAAATAAGTGGTCACCAAAAAACCAGATAATGCCTGTTATTGAGGAAATAAATAAGGAATATATGAAGAATATATCGAAATGAATTACTTCCTTCTATACATGTACATATTTCCTTCTATACATGTACATATTTCCTTCTATACATGTACATATTTCCTTCTATACATGTATATATTTCCTTCTATACATGTACATATTTCCTTCTATACATGTACATATTTCCTTCTATACATGTATATATTTCCTTCTATACATGTACATATTCTGATGCCTGAAACATCTGTAACATTGAAGAAGTGTGATAATGGATTTCTTTTATTTTCAGAGGATTACATCCTTAAGATAACTGATACTCGGAGAAATCTGAGATCACATACCTGAAGAACATGCTGATAGCATACGCAAATAAATAGACGAGATCGAGAGTTCCAAACAGCTCGCTGTAATCACTTCCATCTACAAACAAAATCTCTTTCAATATACTGAAATAGTTATTATTTTCAAATTTTTTTCAGAGAGTCGTTTATTTTGTATGATTTGTATAATAATACCTTAATAACATTAAAGTGTCTTGGTCCATGTTACTAAATTTACTTATAACATATCACACCTGTGTCAGCTTTGTTGATACAATCTAGAGATGTCTTTATCAAGGACTCCTGTGTATTACAGGTACGTTATCAATAACGATCAATATCATGTATGTCATCTTTAAGGTACACGAGCAACACAAATAGCTGAGTTACTTTAGAACAAGACAGCTAAAAATTTAGTCTATATCATTGTTCTGGGAGGAAAAAAGCTTTCTACAGGATATCCAAGAGGCCAATGTGTCCTGTATCGCTCACCTGGATATTTCAGTTTTCACGTAAAACATTTTAATTTAAAATGTCAAGTTACAAAAGATCTTATTTGCCTTGAATTTCTGGTAACAGCTGTACATGTCTGATTATTACTGCTTCTCAGTAGGCGATTGCGAGTTCCCTTTAACATAAAGTGGTTGCCAGCTATCCCCTAGGGTTCAACCCTGAACCAGGACATCCACCAGTAAGTCGTCCCCAGCTATCCCCAAAGGTTCAACCCTGAACCAGGACATCCACCAGTAAGTGGGTCAGTATTGGTGATTAAGCCATAACTCCACAGATGTAAGCTTCCAGTGTATGTTATTTTGATGGTGTCATATCCGGGATGATATCTTCATATTACTATACTCATGGAGTTTCTGAATGGTCACTATTTAAGCCCCAACAATCCCAGAAACATGCTCACTTAATGAACTGTAAAATCTCTGCCACTGACCTCAGTTGTAAACAGTCACATATTCCATCCCCAACCATTTCTTTTGTACAAAATTGAGTCCCAGCAGTCCAATGTTGCTTCAGAACAATTTCAATAAATTCTGTCATCCCTACAGAAGAAGAATGTGATTCCTTTGTTTCCCTACTGGGCCCAACCCCTCTGTCACAACGGTGGTTGGCCTAACTGTTTATTAAAACAAGAATTCCACGGAAGTGGTCGCCTGCCCAGCACAGTTTCTGGAGACAAGTTTGATGAAACAAAAGTCCTAGATATTCATGGTATTTATTCAATTTACATAATTTGTACATTGGTTTGAGATGTCATGACTGATTACATGTAAAGTGAACTGAATCCTGAGGATAAAATCCTTCAAACCTCACAAGCAATACCAAGGACGCCCTTTTGGTAAGGAGGCAATGAATGCAGTTAGAGATAGATTTGTCAAAGTTTACGGAAGTTATCGCGAAAAATCAATTTCCTATTTATAGCAATGATGACCTAAACCTATGACCTTTGGACCTTTGCAGAAAAGTAATCTGAAGCAAGCACTTTTGACGAGGATTCAATGTATAAAGTTTGAGGTTGCTCGGACAAAGAGTATTGAAGTTATCGAGAACACAGTAATACCTATATGTTGCCTTAGGCAGGCAACACAAAATGAGTCCCCTTCATGCAAGGATGCTTCAGATTAAACAAAGTTGAAGAGATTCTAATCATTCCTACATATGAATGACTTTAAACGACTCCTCTAATTCCCATATCGAGCCCCGCCCTTCTGCTCCCAAAGCGATTTGAATCATCGCAAAATGGATGCATAACAGACATATGACATGACGCTGCACAATGGCATGTGCTCACTTCACCCTTTGGCAATGGACAGAATCAAAATCATGTCATTTAGCAATGTTTAAGCTGTATGAGATTTTGAATGTGACATGACTAGAGGGATGAGACAGAAATAGGTATTAAAAAAATGGAGATACACACCAAACGGTTTCCAGTCACACCATGTTGTATCATTATCAAGGTGATGTTTGTTTGCGTCATCTGTCACTTTGGAGCAATTCTGGTGAAGGACACTCTACAACAAAACTTTGACAATTAATTTGAGCTTAATACATAAAACAATTACTTGTTATATCCTAATATGGAAATTAATCCAATGTTAGCAATGACATTCACCTTTTGACCTTTTGCTTTTAAACCAATCACTATTCATCACTAGCACGCATCTCTTAGTTAAGAAATCAGTAAATACTGCCGATTGGCTTGTTCTTAGTAAACAATTCCTGTGTATACAAACAATCAAATATATATTGTAATACTTTAACAACACCTTTGACATTTGACCTTTGACATTCTGAAGAATTTGTTCAAAGTTAAAACCATCAAAGCTGTAAATACATTGTGCTCTGAAGAAGGGTGGAGATGATCATCATAAACCTAAACAAACCAATCACATCACCCATATATTGCTCTCCAATATCTGATAATACATTGATATTGTCCTGCAAATGATAAATACCAGGATAATGATAAATATAAGAACAAGAGGCCCATGGGCCTTAACGGTCATCTGACATAAAATACAAGATTTCAAATTTTGAACTTATTTCACCTGGATTTAAGAATCAAGGGCACTCAGCCACCACCTAGAAGGAGGGTTAAGGTTATTCATTTCAACAAACTTCATAACCTTCATCCCAGCATGCTACAGGCCAAATATCAACACCCTGGGTGTTCTGGTTATTCAGAGGATGTTTGAAGTAACAAACTTTCATCAGTGCCATGTCATGATCATTTCATGCAAGTTTTGGCTCAATAACACTGGTGGAACTTGAGAAGATGTTGAAAATATGTTTTCAAGATGGCAGCCATGGTAGCCATCTTGAATTTTGGACCAACCCGAAATTAACAAACTTTGGTCAGGACCATATCATGATAATTACAGGTAAGTTTCAGCTCGATGTCACAGGTAGAGCTTGAGAAGAAGTTGAAAATGTGTTTTCAATGTATTTTAAAATGGTGGCCATGGCGACAATCTTGGATTTCGGAACAACCCGAAATTAACAACTTTGATCAGGATCATGTCACAATCATTTCAGGTAAGTTTCAGCTCAATGAGACATGTAGAACTTAAGAAGAATTTGAAAATGATACGACGGATGCTGTACGACGTACGACGCTGGACAAAAGGCGATCGCAATAGGTCATCAGAAACTTCGGGTCAAATGACCTAAAAACGTCTTTTCAAAGTTCTCATTCATGCGAACAATCTACAGAATATGTACGAAAGATAGCATATCAAATATTTATTCAAATTTTGTTTCTGTCATGACTTCTGAGTCCAGTATTATCAGCAATGTGTTACTTAGAGTGAACATATTTATTTAGGACAGAAACTGATTGATGTACGTCAACACACTCTGGTTTCTAATTGAACAAAGTGTGAAATGAGTTCAACTCTACTTATAGGTAAGGAAGGTGTACAGTATGATAACAGAGGTACCACCAACCCAAACAACACCACAGCAATAATTGTAACAGAGGTCATTACTAAGTATTATTCCCTGGTCCCTACATGGGCACCAAATGTCACAGAGGATATTATTTATTCCAATGCCTCTGCTAGGAATCGAACCCGAGACCCCTGGCGTACTAGTCTGATGCTCATCCAATCGAGCTAAAGAGGAGTTGTCTCTAGCAGAGTGGTATATTGCGGCTAGTATTTTACCAGGGTTACAGAGCTAAAGAGAAGTTCTCTCTAGCAGAGTGGTATATTGCGGCTAGTATTTTACCAGGGTTACAGAGCTACAGAGGAGTTCTCTCTAGCAGAGTGGTATATTGCGGCTAGTATTTTACCAGGGTTACAGAGCTAAAGAGAAGTTCTCTCTAGCAGAGTGGTATATTGCGGCTAGTATTTTACCAGGGTTACAGAGCTAAAGAGAAGTTCTCTCTAGCAGAGTGGTATATTGCGGCTAGTATTTTATCAGGGTTACAGAGCTACAGAGGAGTTCTGTCTAGCAGAGTGGTATATTGCGGCTAGTATTTTACCAGGGTTACAGAGCTAGAGAGGAGTTCTCTCTAGCAGAGTGGTATATTGCGGCTAGTATTTTACCAGGGTTACAGAGCTAGAGAGGAGTTCTCTCTAGCAGAGTGGTATATTGCGGCTAGTATTTTACCAGGGTTACAGAGCTAGAGAGGAGTTCTCTCTAGCAGAGTGGTATATTGCGGCTAGTATTTTACCAGGGTTACAGAGCTAGAGAGGAGTTCTCTCTAGCAGAGTGGTATATTGCGGCTAGTATTTTACCAGGGTTACAGAGCTAGAGAGGAGTTGTCTCTAGCAGAGTGGTATATTGCGGCTAGTATTTTACCAGGGTTACAGAGCTAGAGAGGAGTTCTCTCTAGCAGAGTGGTATATTGCGGCTAGTATTTTACCAGGGTTACAGAGAGCTAGTATTTTACCAGGGTTACAGAGCTAAAGGAGTTCTCTCTAGCAGAGTGGTATATTGTGGCTAGTATTTTACCAGGGTTACAGAGCTACAGAGGAGTTGTCTCTAAGAGAAGTATTTTACCAGGGTTACAGAGCTAAAGAGAAGTTCTCTCTAGCAGAGTGGTATATTGTGGCTAGTATTTTACCAGGGTTACAGAGCTACAGAGGAGTTGTCTCTAGCAGAGTGGTATATTGCGGCTAGTATTTTACCAGGGTTACGTATAATAGATTAGAAGAGTGATTTTTAGTCATAACAAATCAATGTGAAAGCGTTGTGAAAGAATTGTCTCGGAGAAAAACACAACAAAATAATGACGATAATGGCTAAAGAAAAAAAATCCTTTAAAGCAAATAAACTCACTTTCATTGTAGGAAATGATGAAAGTACACTTATTGGTTAAAGAAGAAATGTCTGTTGTGTCCTAGATTTCCACTTCTTGTGTGTATACACTGACCTTGGTTAATAGTTTACAACTTCTATGTATAAACCTAGATAAATTAACTACTACTAACCTAGAGCCTTAGTTTTTGACTATCTAGAGATATCTATTATGTCACGGAGAATATTTTATGGAGAAACGTTGTGGATGTTGAATTATTGCTAAATAACTGAATAAAACAAATCTTATTGTTTGAAAAATACCTTGACAAGGATCTGAGCCATCATGACCTTCATAAACCTAATCTGCTCAAAAATGTCTGATATTTTTTTACATACAACCATGATAAAAATGAACAAATTATCTACTTACAGCTCTCCAATTAACTTTTTTAATTCATCCAGATGCAAAATTGAACACATCTTACATTTTAATCAATTTAGACACATTAATATTGTTTTAGTGTAATTTCCTTTGATGTTGACCTCACAGGTCACGATTAGTACCAACATTCCATGTAGAGTCAACAGTGCCTATTTTAGACAGAATTTAATCTAAGAAAATCACTGACCTCTTGTTCCCAATAGAAGTGTGTCAATAAAGTTCACTGACTGTATACATAATGTATACAAGGTAAACTGTGTCGAAATAACAGCGTAGTCGTGTGATAAATTCAAACATTGTTTTCATCAGATTTAAAGTTGGTCATGAACTGCTCATAAGTCAAGATGGCAGCCTTGAGAATTCTTGTTGTAAAGATAACGTGAGAATATTGACGTCAATAGAACCTATATTCAAACAAATCTGATGAAAAAGGCAAATATGAGGTCCAAAGAGCATGCATCGCTCACGTGATATTCAATACTCATCAAAAACACTATGTTTATAACAAATATATTAAGATGTACACCAATGTTATTCACAGTGGGCACATCAATTTTAATCCATGTCCAAAGCTTCTTAATCTGAGTTCTGATCAGTGCCAGTTATAATGTGAATTATATGGTTCAATGCCATTTCTTACATAACTATGTTGGGCTTCATCCCCGATACCTACCAGCCAAATCTATACATTTTGCTTCATCAGAAGAAATTTGGTTTTGACAGATTTAACCTCTGTGACCTTGAATATGGTTCCAGTGCATTTCTTTTGGTAAATTCTGATAAGCTTCCTCAAACAGACCAATGAACATGCTTCTGGATCGTTTTGCTTAATCAAAAGAAATTGTTTTAAGGTTTTAACAAAATTGATTCCTTCAACCTTTGATAAGGGCCAAGAAACATCAAGAAAACACCAACATAATCATAATCCATATTTAAATTGCATAAAATAATTGTCCATGTTGGTTTAGAAGTAGGAAATCAAAGCACTGAAAGTACTGAAAGGCTAAACGTATTGAAAAATGTTCACAAATAAACACAAAGCTATATTACTTTCCCCATACTCCTACATTTTGGAATGCAAAAATTACTAAAATAAGAGAACCTGAGGCTATTTTTCTTAATTTTAAGCGATTTTATATCTTCTTTAATTCTTATTTCAAATTTGACGACAATAATGTGAACAAATCAAAATAGGTAAAAAAATAAAATCACAAAATACACACAACCATATATTTATCTCCAACAAGCCAAATGATTAATAGCTCTATGATGAAATTGACTAAATAAAACCTTTGAAATACCCAAGATGTTGCAATTACTATCCTATCAATATGAGGATTTATACCTACTTCTTTATTGTGAATGTATTGCAAAGTAATAGTCCTTACTTATTGTAATTATATTTGTAGTTGAGGAAAGTAGATAAGGTATACACAGCATTTCAGATAGATAAAAGTGTAAGTAATTACATTAAATGTATTTACATGCCTATCATCCTTGAAGTATCATGGTTAGACTTTTCTTGCAGTAATTATGTCTATAAAGGCATAGTTCTTTGAGATTAAACCAGACTTCCATACATATACAAAATTTACAATATTTTCACTATAGCTACTACTATTTTTTATCTCCAATGCATCAGATAATGTCACCATGACACGCTAAATGAATAAATATGTTAAGGAAATATTTCGTTCTAGTTAATTGATAATTATAAACATGAATATTTTGGGGTTTTTTATACGCGCTTTGTTTGAAGAAATATTTTCAATTCAAGGAACTTTGATACACATTAACAAACCTTGAGAAATCAGCACAATCAAC